TTAAGTGACACTTATGATGAAGACGGTGCAGTTGGCCCTTAATGAAACGCGACGAGCTCTAAACGGGTATCTCTTTCAGGAGCGCTGAAATGAGTAGACCATTTATGTTTTGCAGCCATTAGTAAAACAAAATTTTCAAAAGATCTCGAATTTCGGTTAGAAACAACACAGACATACAGAACAGAACTAAAAATACAGAGTTGCCGGTTTTTGCCAGAAGCTTAGCTAAGAACACGTGAAAAACGGATGGTGCAACTCATTGAAGCTTAAGTCGGACTTAAATTTTAAGGTATCCTTAGGTAAGGACGTGCTTAGAAGAAGTTTAGTGCAAGTGGGCATTAAGTATTTAAGTGACACTTAGCTAAGTGACGCTTATGATGAAGACGGTGCAGTTGGCCCTAAGAGAAACAGCTAAAAATTGCTTCAAAACGACTTGGAATAAAAAATTCTGCGTTATACTAAAATGTTCGTAATGAGCTGAGGAATACATTGATACCTCAAAATATTCTCCCACTTATGTAGTTTTTCCGAAAATTATCTTTCACAGAATTTTAAAAGAAAGAAAAATATAGTGTACCCAGCAGCACTTCAGTAAAATAGCTCAATTGTTTGTTTCCTTTATACTCGTAGTTTGGTTTAACCGCATTTGTATTAATCAAAAGTAGGTGAATCGTATCAATTAAATTTATGCATTAACCCAGTAGTCTCATTGTAAATTGGGTTAGCTAGCAGATCTTATGAACTACAAGATGCATGGAACGTTATTTCATTTTTTATTCCAACAGTGTGTGCTACTGACTGTTTTCGAAAAAATTGCACACGTAACTACTGGTGAATGTGGGCAACGCCACGGGTAGCTCGGCTAGTGATAAATAAAAATAAGAAAAAAACATATTCCAAGGGCAGTCGCTATTCAAGTCGTCAAAATGCGTTTGGTAAGAGATAAATTTTCTTCGTCAAATGATAATTCATCTTAAAGTATCTTTCCCATAAGCAATCTCACCCCACTGCAATACGTCATGACACCCACATGCTGGGATAAGATTGACAAATGTATTAGTTTTCTATTTCTTTTATTACAATCCTGCATTAGATTTTTAATTAATTTTGAAATTTTTATAAACTTAATTTTTCATCAAATACGTATATATTCATAATACGTATTTAAAAAATAGTGCGTCGTTTATCCCGACCTTACCCTATGCATAATTATGTGGGTGTTTTACATTCCAGTAGGACAATAATGCAAAACACTTTACACATGTTGTTCCACAATGTTTTGAAGAAAATAACGTTAGAGTCTTACAGTATCCTGCACATCAACTTAGGCCCAATCCAAAATATGTGGGAGAAAGTATTAGGAAAATTACTTAAGATTGGACAAATCTTCCTAAAAGTCGCACACAAAATTTGATTGCTATTAATTATGATTGTATTACTTTTATTTGTTATACTTAGTTGGTTGCTAATCCAAATTTACTGATTTCAAAAGTAGTTAATCCCATAACTGAGCATAAAATGTTGAAAAAGAATAAAATATTTCTATACAAATAACAAGTTTTACAATATCTTGGCGAACAGGGTTACGATCGAAATATTGCAATTTGCGAATTAGAAAAGGTATCAAATAATTGATCTTATATTATTATTTGTTTATTATTTTATTTTAGATTATATAATACGCTAAATGCTAATTTCAATCTAAATGGTACAAAACGGGTTCGTTAACACAAAACATAACTTCAGATTTTGGGATAATGAAAACCCACCTCAATTTCGAGGTCAAAGTTTCAGGAGGAATTATCAGAAACTAAATTATCAGCCCTATATTTTTAGCAGAAAATTTAACTCAACAGCTGTTTCTTATCTCCGAGAAAATATGAAAAAAGAGCTACTTATCATACAGTCCCTAGAAGGCTCCCAATAGCGAAATGTAATTTTTTTTTTAATTCGAATAAATCTAAGTGCCATTTTTCGATCAGAAGCGATGATCAAAAAGAAGCACTTTTCTTTACGGTTCATTTGTTTTACTTTTACGCACATGTGCGCAAAAGTAAATCTGAGAAATTGGACGTGCCACTGTCATAAAATATTTTGAAGTACTTTCATTAAAAAGTAAACGACGGGCTTTTTTAAAGAATTACGTAGGTTTATAGAGAACTATTGATCATAATTTAAAGTTTACTTACAATTTGAAAATTATAACTTTGTTACAAGTTCAGTCTCAAAGTCATCCAAATGGTCGATTTTTTCAAAGATCGCAAATTTTATGCAAAATATGCATCTTATACATACACCATACCGTGAAAGCAGCACTTGGATTTTCAACATTCATTGCTTCACTTGTATATGCTTACAAAAGTACGCTTTTAAAAAATTACAAACGTCAAAACATGACAATTTCAAAAATGGCATTGACATCAAATTTTAAATATGAAGTTGACTGCTTTTATTTTTGGCTATTTTTATTTATTATAACTTCTTATTTGTGTTATGTCCTTTATTTGAATAAACAATTTTATCTACAACTGTTATGTAATGAATGTGATTTGGCTGTCTTTCAAATGTCATAATGATGTTTTGCCGCACTAGTGCTTTTTTAAATTATTACCGCACTAGTGCGGTAATAAATCAGACGATCATTGTCAAAGGTATGTCTTAAAATTGCACATTTTAGAATAAGTTCAAGCGATGATGTGCCATCTGATATTGAAAGCAAAGCTTTTAATATTGTTTCGGATCTCATGCCAGATAAACACGGGAGAAATAAATGCCAAAAAGCTTTGATCGGTACGAGAAATGGTGCAGTGGACGAAAGATACACACATTTCAACCGAACACCAAAAAGATGAGGGTTTATGTATTTTGCTTACTTTGTTAAAATATACTAATAATTCTTGCTCGCTTGTAAGTTGAGTATCTTTCATTCACTGCACCATTTTTGTTACCAATCAAAAGCTTCTTGGTATTTCTACCGTGGTTTGTCAGGCACAAGATCCGAAATAACATTAAAAGCTTCGTTCTCAATATCACATGACAGATCATCGCTTGAACTCATTATAAAGTGTGCAAATTAAATACACAACTTTGACAATGATTCTGAAGACAATGACAAACTCATTACCGGTGATCTGTATTCAATTTTATAATTAATTATTTTCACTCAAATAATCATTAAAATAATAATCGTTATAGTTGTAGATAAAATATTGTTCGTAAGGATATTATATTATTAACGCACTTATGTGATTACACGACTCGGCCAACAGTCTCGTCGTGCAAATATTCCATTAAACAGATTTCGAAATAGAACGAATTTGCGGTATACTGAGTTTTTGTGCCTGATCGAATGGCAAACTAAGTATTTATATCGGCGAATGAGTGTACCTATCCCCATATATGCACATATAACTGGTGAGTTTTTCGGTCTTTATGTCGCCGTTGATTGTTGTATAATTTTCATCTATACCTACCGGAAAATTCTAAAGAACCAACGCAGTTTGTATCAGATAAACATCATATTAATGTGCACTTGTATCGTGTTATAATGTATACGCTTGTATCGTGTTATATTGTATATTTACATGCCACTTACTAAAGGAGTCTCAAATGGTGGTCTCTCCAATGAAGAGACGACAATTGGCTTTACTTCGACAATTTTACTGCTGGCTATTTCTTGAATGTTTGGTTTCTCTGGTTCTGGAGGCTTAACGTTTGAATGTTGAGACACTGTACATCCCTTTATATTCAGGAATTCCGTAAAATCCGTGCACTTTTTGCTACAGCAAGACCATCCTTTATAAGCGTCGTGGAAGAATGGTGCTCCAGGATGGTGTCTACAAGCATCTGAATAACATATATGCTGACTGGAGTTAAATAGTTCGTGTAAAAATTATTCTATAGTTCTAGATTTATCTGTGTTAGTTTGGATAGTTGAGAAGGCAGTTTCTAGAAAAAAACTAACCTCAAACAAGCAATTCTTACCTTCGTTGTTTTCTGTTGGCTGATACCTTTCACCACAACCCCTATTATAGCATTGAAGCAGTTGTCCTTCGTTCTCCATTGATGAAATAAAGTTCCTCAACGTGAAATTGCTTTTTTACACTCAATACTCAAAGTAGTCTGTGACTCAAAGCCCCTATCACAGGCCCCTATCAGCCAGCAACTGTCAGTCACAGATCCACAGACCATAGATGAAGACAACTGCCACAGACTACACAGATCACAGAGGTTATAGATTGGAAACTGACATATACGCCTGCAGAATGCTATTTGTCGCTTAAATCACCGGCTGCAATCAAAACTAAACT